GAAATTATTCATCATGTTTTGATAATCTTTTGCATTAATGGTCTAATTTTAGTTTTAATTTTAAGTTCTGAGTCTTCTGACTATCTTTTCCAATTTCTTTTGTTTTTGTTTTAATTTTACCTGGCCATTTAAATTTTTATCACTATTTTTTAGCACTATTTATGAAACTGAAAAAATTAATAGAAACTAAAACTGAAAAAATTAATAGAAAGGGAAAAATAAGCAGAAAATCACTATTTATGAAACTGAAATAGTGATTTTCTGAAACTAAAAAAATTAATAGTGCGGAGGATGAGTGCAGAGGATGAGTGCACAAATCACTATTTATGAAACTGAAAAAATTAATAGAAAGGGAAAAATAAGCAGAAAAAAAAGTGAGTAAGAAGGAACAGTGTAACATTGCAATACTTAAAAGTATGTGACAAAATGAATTTGATTTGTAATATAGACATTTGTTTCATCAGTGTGAATATTCCAAAATCATACGAAGTGGACTCCACCACAAATGCGGATTCTACATATGCCCTAACTCTTTGGAAAGATTTTTTAATTTGGGCATCTTTAAATTGGAAACAAAAATTAAAGAGAAGTAGGGTCATGATTTGGAAGCTAACCTCAACTAGTGATGTGTATCATATTTAGAGGGAAATGAATATCAAATAGAACCTTAACTCTAGGACAAAAAATGAATGATGTGATCAATTTTGTGTTACATCTTCTTTTATTTATATTCAAACTTTGAAATATTTTCTTTTACTTTTATTTATATTCGGACTTTCGAATATTGTTAGGATTTGAGATTTGAAGTTATATGTAATATGGTGTGTTTTGGTCTTATTTTGGTTATATTTTACATATCTTATTGTTTAGGAAGTTAGTTTCAATTATTTTTTTACAATTTGGTAGAATCTTACGATTCACGATCCGATTCTACGATTCCGATTCTACGAAGCCCAAAACGATTCTACGTAGAATCCCGATTTTAACAACCTTGCGCCACATTATGTGTCCTCCGTGGTGGTGAGCCGGAAACACATGACCACTTGTTTTTCAATTGTCCCTATGTGAAACCTCTTTGGACATTTATTCAAACACGCTGTGGGTTCCATATTGCACCTTCTTCATGGGAGCAATTTATTGGCTGGGCATCATTCCATTGGAAAGGTAAATCTGCGATAGTAACTCAATCTCCAAAATGTGCCTTGCTTCCCTCGTCTACAACATATGGAATGAGCGCAATAGCAGGATCTTCCAAAAGAAATCCATATTTGCAAACTCACTCCTTCACATTACTTTGGAATCTGTGAGATCTACGCTTCTCACATCAAGGATCTAGGACATGAAGGATCCAAGAAGAACTGCAGCTAAATGGGATTTGCCTGTGGAAATCCTTCGTCCTCCACCAAAAACCACCTGCTCACACAGCATGATGAATTTGCAGATTGGAGGCAGAGTGCTCCATGTTTACCGGAAAATTTGTTTTCACCTGTAACGGTTTTGATCAACATTCTTTTGTTTTGTGTGGCCAACTGGGCCTGCTGGTCTTTTGGGCCTCTCTAACCTTGGTCCTGTTAGCTTTTGGCTAATTTTCTTTGGGACAGTGTATCTCTCCTCTTCCAACTTTCAAAAAACAACCAACCATCCTTTTTTGTCAAACCCTAATAAGATTAACGATGATAATTCTCTTTCAACTCTTAAATTGCTGCTCTCTCTCGCGCGAAACAACTTAGTAATTCTCTCGGTCTCTGTCGCAAAGCTATTCTCTGTCCGCGAAGAAGACGACTACAACACAACCTCTCATACTGAGAGCTTCTCTCTGTCCGCGAGGAAGACAACTACAGGCAGGTGGTCCCGCCCACTATAAAATATAATAAATTTTATTTTAATTTGTACATTTATAATAAAATTTCCTATATAATGCCTCCTAAAATTTTAAATTTCTAAAATTGTCTTCTAGATTTATTTATTTATTTTTTTTAATTTATTTATTTATTTTTATTCCTTTGATTTCTTTAAAAAAATAATAATAAAAATGATTAAATTTTCCTTCTTTGCTCAAATTCTAATTTTTGTTTTTTTCTTTCAAATTTCTCATTTTTCTTCTTCTTCTTCTTCTTAATTTTTTTTGGCCACTTACTTCTTAACGATGTACATAGTATGTAATTTTTTTTTGTTCTTATTTAAATTATAAATTTTTATTTTTTTACATTGCGCCTCTTTGAATTAAAATCTGGCCAACACAAACCTCTCAAACTGAAAAAGCTGCTCTCTATCTTTGTCGCAAAGCTGCTCTGTGTCGGCGAAGATGACTACAGCTTCAAACTCCGGCCAACAGAAACCTCACCTTGGTTGGTTCTTCATCTATGTCTCCCTTCTTTTCCCTCTGTTATTCTCCCTCCCTTTTAAATTTTATCCATCTGATTTATTGTTTGAATGCCAATTGACCTAATTTCAAGCATGTATTGGATGATGTTTAAGAGAGGACAGTCTCTGTTTTTCGGTTTAGCTGAACAATAAAAACAAGAATTGGCTGGCACATACATACAATGTTTTCTAAAGCATAAGGGTGCCAGTCTCGGGCTTAATTATCTAAAAACTTCTTATTTGACAAAGCAACTTGCTTTATACTTCTTTTAACTATTTGATACATAGGGTCTAGATAAATCATTGTAGAATGAAAGTGTGTTAGTCAATTTGAAACCTTAGACAAGTGTTACACTCAAATATGAGAGTACGGTTAACGGTTCAGTTTTTATTCATCTTATGCAAATTGACCTATTATCACAGTAACCATGGAAATAATAAACTGATTAAATGTAATTAATCAACAACTATGTCATCATAAATTCATCACAAATTAATAAAAAAATTCTAATTCAAATAATTAACTATATTTATCAAAAAATAAATAAAAAATTGTTCTCTTTTTCTATCGTTTCAAGATAATACTCCCTCCGTCCCATATTAGTAGTCCATTATTTCATTTTTACATGTTCCAAATTAATTGTCTTCTTTGAAAAGTCAAAGTATCTTTCCTTTATATTTCCATCATTGTCCTTTATTTTTTTAAAATATTTCAAACTTTGTAACTATATATATTTAAATTAAAAAAGACAATTTGATAATTTTAAAAGGGGACAATGTATTAATTGCATGTCCCCTTAAAAACTCTAATTTTCTAAATATGGACCTCTATTGTGGGATGGAGGGAGTGCATACGAATTTACTTTATATAGCTAAATTTGTTAGAGTAATATGAAACACCTATATTACCATATATGCATTTATTACTTACACTATTATTGAATATATACATTAAATTTTAGTGTACCTATGGCGTTGATAAACTACCATATATATATATATATATATATATATATATATATATATATTAATTATACATGTTCGAAAATATATTATTAAAAAACTTCCCAATTAGAGAATATTACAAATAAATTACGCATCTATTAGTGAAAAAAAATTAGCATCTTTATTACATATATCATTAATGAAATAAATAATCACGAATATATTTGCATATGAAATAAATAAAAATATATAAAATATATGTCATGACCTGATATAATTTTATTTAAACCTAATATACAGACGCTCATGTTTTCGCTCCCGCTATGTGTGACTACCATTACAAACAAAAATTAAATGATCTTAAAAATTTTAATTTTAATAAATTTTACTTATGCATCTAATATATATATATATATATATATAGGGTAAGGTGCAATAAACTCCCTTCAACTGTACCCAAATGAGCAGAAAACCCCCTTGAATTTCTAAACTAGCAGAAAATCCCCTCAAACTATGTTATTTAGTTGAAGTTTATCTAATCTGGCAATCGGAGATTGAATTTTAAACCCCTACATGTCACGTGATGGATTATCGTTAAATGACAAGAAAGCCCTTATGAGAGTTAAAAGACTATAACACCCTTTTGTCTATATATATATATATATATTCACATATAAAGCATGTATCATTTTGCTTTGTGACGAGAAATTGACGATCCAAAATTATGACGCGATTCCGGCGAAGGCGCTGATGCTACGATGAGAATAAATTTTGTAGATTCTCCGAGCTAGGCTTAAGAGAAGTAGTTCTTGAGTTTTCTCATCGCAGCAATTTGCGACATCGCTAACAACCCTATGTGATTCACCAATGCGTCGGCGAGCTTGAGATTGTCTTCTTGGACTGCCTCAGTGCAGGCATCAAGCTGTGGACAAGTCAGAATTCGGTCTCCTGCGAATCTACGACCACCACCGGCCGCCGTGGCTCCACTACGGAATCGGTGATACAGGCGGCAGAATTCTCAATCCCAATCACAAGCAAACCAAATCACAAAATTCTCAACCCCTCACCAAACCCAATCACAAGAATTGATTTGCAAAATGTAATAGAAAGCGTACCCAATCGCAAAATTCCATGAATATTTTTTCAAAATCAGCAAGCAAATCCATCACAAAATTCTCCATAGCCAAATATAGGAAGGAGAATTGTGGAGCATAGGGTAATGCTCCAGTTGGTTTCTAAGAAATTCTACAAAAAATCAAGATGATAATTTTAATCATATGACACTTAAGAATTAAATTTTCAAGAACCCAATATAATACCAAAACAAGAAATTGGGATTTAGCAGAGTTCAATGACAACATCAAGATTGAAGAGATCAGAGAAAGTGTCCAAGGATTTTTCGCCACCATTGTTGTGGGTCTTGAAGTCGAAACACCAACACGGCATTCTAATAACCATCGTCCATAATTATGCCTTTATCGTCGATGGTTAAGCCTTTTGTAGTTGTCGCCACCCGACTGATTTTTACCGTCGCCATTGGAATCTGTAACTGTGGCACTTGCATATATACACGTGGTTGTGATAAATGCTTAGATGGTGGTGGAGATTGTGGTGTAGAGAGATGGTGGTGTTGGTCGTCCATGGTGGACATTGGGGTAGAAGAAAAAGAAAAAAGAATATATACATTTGTAATGTTGGTTTTGTTGAATGGAAGTGCAAAGGATCTCTTTGTACCATCTAGAAGGATTAGACAAGGTGATCCTTTATCACCTTACTTATTCCTGTTAAGTGCAGATGGACTTACCAAGTTAATTAATAAGGCAACGGTTGATGGACATTTTTCTGGGATTCGAATGAATAGAGGGCCAACTGTATCTCATTTGCTATTTGCTAATGATTTTTTGGGGTTTTGTAGAGCAAATGACATGGAACTAAATGTTTTGAAACAGTTGCTGATCAGGTATGAGAGATTAATAGGACAACAAATCAATTACTCAAAATCGTCCATTATTTTTAATGTTAATGTCCCGGTTGATGAGAGGGAAGATTTGAGTAGAAGGTTGGGAGTTGTCGCAGGGGGAAGGTTTGATAGGTATTTGGGGCTGCCAGCTGAGATTGGTCAATCCAAAAAACAGATTTTCAAATATCTTGAAGACAGAATGATTGACAAGATAAAGGGGTGGAAAAATTGAAAAATTGTTTCTTTTCTACTGCTGGGAAGGTGACTCTTATTAAGTATGCTCTTCAAGTTCTTCCTACATATACTATGAGTTGTTTCAGGCTTCCTGTTGGAGTTTGCAAAAGTTTGAGTAGTAAAGTTATGCACTTTTGGTGGTCTGGGTCTAAGGAAGGACGGAACTTGTGCTGGTTAAAATGGGAACAGTTGTGTATGAATAAGCAAGAGGGTGGCTTGGGTTTTAGAGATCTCGAAGCTTTTAATATTGCATTTTTAGCTAAACAAGGATGGCGGTTAGCAGTAGAGGATGGTAGTCTACTCTCAAGAATTTACAAAGGAAAGCATTATCCTCACAATTCTTTTTTAGAGGCCAGAATAAGGGGTAATTCAAGTTGGGCTTAGAAGAGCATATTTTCATCCAGAGAGGTTGTGTAGAGAGGCCTGAGGTGGCGAGTAGGTATAGGGACTGCAGTGCAGGTATGGACTGATCCATGGATTTCAAATTCTTTAGATTTTAAAATTTCTTCACCTTGTCTTACGGGGTGTAATGTGCGCATCGTTCAGGACTTGGTGGATCCTTATTCAAAATCTTGGAATAGTGTGCTTATTTCTCAATTTTTTTTCTCAAGAAGAGTCAGAGAAAAATTTGTCAATTCCATTAAGTGAAACTACTGTCAAGGATAAAAAAGTATGGCACTTCTCAAATGATAGAAGTTTTATGGTGAAGTTTTCATACAGGGTTGCCCCTGAATGGTTGCAAAAAGCTATTAGATCATTGGGATATGAGAGAAGAATTGATGGATGTGCAGCTGTTAATGGATTTTGGGACAAATTATGGAAGCTTAAGGTGAAGGAGAAATTGAATCACTTTATTTGGAGGTGTGTCTATAGGGTTGTCCCAGTTTTGGAAGATTTAAAGAAGCGTCAAGTTGTGGTATCTGATATTTGTTTGAGCTGTGGTTTAGATGATGAATCTATTGAGCATGTGATGTTGAGATTCCCTTATACTGTTAAAGTGTGGAAATTTTGCCCTATCAGATTGGATCCTAATTTTTTCCATAATAATACATGGGTGCAGTGGTTTTATAGTCTAATGAATGTAACGACCCTAACTGATACCAATAATAAAAAAAAAAAATTCGGCATGACCTTGGCTAAAAATGGTTCTACAATAACCTGCTCAAAAAAAAAAAAAAAAAAAAAAAAAAAAAAAAAAAAGAATGGCCTTTCAAGACCTATCCAACCTGCCCCAACACACAATACAAATAATACAATACATTCCCCAAGTTAGCCCATTATCGTCATCCCATTCAACTTAAGCATTTACACAGTCTTGTTTCCCTTCAAAATACTAACAAGAGTTATGATTTATAATACATGACCTTGGCTTTCAAAAAATGAATACATGACATTTTAGTTTTTAAACTATACAAATGGGGGGGGGGGGGGGGGTCGCTAAGAAACAAAAGATAACAAAATACAACCCCTAATCTTCTTCAAACTTACAGGGGATCGTTATCCGCCACTTCTTTCCCGTTTCCTGAAAAATGTTAAAATGAAGGGGTAAGCATAAACTCAGTAGGAAGTGCCTAAGGCACACCTCTTGAGACCCCTTGAATCCACATCATGAATAGGAATAAAGAAATTGGGATCATACCATGTCGGGGAAAAAAAAAATATAACTACTATACCAAATCATTAATCCAATACCACAAATGAATATGCCATGTAATGATATGCCATGCCATGCAATGTCACTCCCCATTGTCCAAAACCATTTCCATGGTAACTCCATAGCGGCATGAGAGAATGATTAGCCACTGTCCCTAACCCATGGCAACTCCATGGCGTCATTTGGGGCCAAGGTAACTCAACCACACTAGAGCGATCTCCCTAATTCCCTCTAGCCCTTACTAACACCACGGTCCCTAGGCAACTCCTAGGCGGCCGGGTTAATTTTTTGCAAAATCCTTTTTAAAATTCTTTCCCAAAAATCCATATCATTTCTTTCAAATTAATTTTTCCCATTCTTTCCAAATGATATGCATGAATGTCTCATGCTTCCCAATGCCATGTCAAATGAAGGATTTTTACAATTCACAAATCAACATAAGATTTTCCTATGTCACAAATCAACACACTTCCATAGAGCAATTTCTAGCAAATTAATCATAATATGTATGAAAATTTAATACTTAGACATGCTTTACAACATAAAAATTTCTAAACTTATATTTCATCAGGCATGGACCTAGCAGGTGACCGGGGGGGGCATTTGCCCCCCCTGGATTTTTAATAATTTCATTTTATACCCTAATTTTTTAAAATTTTATGAAAATACCCCCCCGAAAATTACAATTCGCCCTCACTGGATTCTTTTTTTTTTTTTTTTAGCATTTTATACATCAAATTTTGATAATTTATGAAGATGCCCCCACTAGAATTATAATTTGCCCCACTGATTTTTTTTTTTTTTTTTTTTTTTTTTCATTCTATACTTTAAAATTTATTAAAAAAAAAACCCTATTAAAATTACAAAAATGAACCCATCATATAATTTTGTACCCACAAATTAAAAAGCCGCCCACCCTCACAAAATTTTCTGGGTCCGTCACTGTATTTCATGTTTTCTAATCACCAAACTAACACTAAAGGCACAAAAAACTTGAATTAATCAACAATTTATATGCTTCATTATCATATATATCAAGCAACACATAGTCACAACTTTTACACAATATATATATATATAATAAAGTAAGAAATATTTTACAAATTAAGCATGCTAATCATCAATTAAGTGGAGTAATTCATAAAAAGGCCCAAGAACATGTGAATTAGAACTCCTACCTCAATTTTATGCAAAACCCCCAATTTTCCACCTCAAACCCTAGGATTTTGAATTTCCTATTATGCATCAACCAAGGAATTGCTCCTACCAACTTGTTGATCTCGTCGTAGGCTTCGAATAGCCGCAAACGGCTCTTAAAAACACTAAGAAATGAGGGAGAAATCAAGAGCGGAAGCTTGAAATAAATAAATAAATAAATAAAGAACCGAGAGGAAGACAGAGACGGGAGAGAGAGGATGAAAACAAACAGAGACCAAATATGGTCTCAAATTGACTTAAACAAATTGTGGGTTCCACCCACTTTCTTTCTTTTTTTTTTTCTCTTTTTTTTTTTTTTTTTTTATTTTTTTTTTTTATTCTTTTGCTACACCATATATATATATATAAACTCAAACATTTCATTCTCCCTAACTTTAAAAGATTTTGTCCCCGAAATCAAGACATACCTGAGGGAGAAAACAACTCTAGATACTTGGAGCGAACCTCCTGTTCAAGCTCCCAAGTAGCCCCCTTAACTCCATGATGCCTCCAGAGAACTTTCACTAATGGTATCGTCTTGTTCCTCAACACCTTCTACTATGTGTAAAGGATCTGAACTGGTCCCTTCTCGTAGGAAACATCCTCCTTAATGTCCACATCAACCCAACTCCAAATGTGAGATGGATCTGGCTCGTACTTCCGTAATATCGATACACGAAAGACATTATGGACTCTGTCCATCTGCGGTGGTAAAGCAAGTCTATAGGCAACCTTTCCTACCCTGTCCAAGATCTCAAAAGGTCTAATGAATCATGGCGATAACTTGCCATTCTTCCTGAACCTCAACAATCCCTTTTGTGGAGAAACCCGTAGAAAAACATGGTATCTCACCTCAAAAGATAATGGTCGTCTCCGCTTATCTGCATAGCTCTTCTGTCAACTTTAAGCTATAAGTAGCCTTTGTCTGATCAGCTTAATCTTCTCAGTAGTCTCGAGTACAATGTCAGGTCCTAAGGCGGTTGTCTCGCCCACCTCAATCCAACAAACCGGAGACCTACAAGGTCTGCCGTACAACGCCTCAAATGGAGCCATCTCAATGCTCACTTGATAACTATTGTTGTAGGAAAACTCAATAAACGGTAGATGATCTTCCCAACTACCACCTAAGTCAAGCACACATGCCCGAAGCATATCCTCCAAGAGCTGGATAGTACACTGCGACTGGCCGTCTATCTATGGATAGAATGCCGTACTAAGATGCAACGCTGAACCAAACGCCGCTTGAAGTCCTTCCTAGAACTTCGAAGTGAACCAGGCATCCCTATTTGAAACAATGGTTACAGGAACTCCATACAACCTTACAATCTCTTTTACATAAAGAACACCAAGCTTCTCTGCATCATCTGTTGCCTTAATAGGCAAAAAGTGAGCCGTCTTGGTCAATCTATCAACGATGACCCATACGGCTTCATTGCCCCTCCGTGACCTTGGAAAACTTGTCACAAAATCCATAGCAATATGTTCCTATTTCCACTGCGCTACAGGCATTGGTTGCAACAAACCAGCCGATCTTTGATCCTCAGCCTTCACCTGTTGACAGGTAACCCCACTTAGCCACAAACTGTATAACATCTTTCTTCATCCCGTTCCACCAATACTGACGTATCAAATTGTGATACATCTTGGTACCACCTGGATGAACTGCAAAGCGGGAAGTGTGAAACTCCCGTAGGACGTCCTCACCACATCTTGTGGAAACAACCAACAAGCCTCTGTACCGTAGACCTCCATCTGCATGTGAGGTCCAATCTTTCACTGTCTCACCACCAGATATCAAGGTGTAAATGGCATCCAAATCTGGATCCTGTCTCTACGACTCAATCACTCATCTGACAAGAGTAGGCTGAGCCACAAGACTAAATAAGAATGTCGACTCACTGCAAACATGATCATCAAAACACTGCAATTCCATCTCTGCTAGATCTTCAAGCATCTCCCATTTTTGAATAGCCAAACCAGCTAAAATCCCATGAGATTTCCGGCTTAAGGCATCTGCTACCACATTTGCCTTGCCCGGATGATACTGCAAATCAAAATTGTAATCTTCCAAGAATTCAACCCATCGCCTCTGTCTGTTGTTCAAGTCCTTTTGGGGAAAAAGGTACTTGAGACTTTTATGATCCGAGTACACCTCGAATCTCTCACCATAGAAGTAGTGTCTCCAACATTTCAAGTCAAATACATCTGCCGCTAACTCTAAATCATGAGTAGGGTAGTTAAGCTCGTGAGTCTTTAACTATCGAGACCCATAAGCCACTACTCTACCATCCTGCATCAACACGCATCCCAAACCATCACATGAAGTGTCACAATAAATCATGTAACCCAAGCCACGCTCAGGTATCACCAACACTGGAGCTGTAGTCGATCTTATCTTTAAATCCTAAAAAGATGACTCACAAGCTGTAATACCTCTAATTTAACAAGGATAGTTCTGGAATTTATTTAATTATTTAAATTGTGTTTTTATTCATTTAGTTGTGAATTTGTTGATTAAGTGTGACTTTATTTGTTTTTATTTATTTAGTGGTGGTTTGTGAATTAATTAATTAAATATTAAATTGTATTTTATTTTTCTTTTTTTCGTTAATTGAATTAATTATTAAATGGTATTTTATTTTTCTATTTTTCGTTAATTGAACTTAGGGTTTTGTTTTATTTTTTCTTTAGCCGACTTAGTTTCCTGTCTAGTATTAGGACTAGAATTAGGGTAACCTTAATCCTATAAATATATACATTAAGGTTTTACCTAGGGTTTTAGAACTTAAACACGTCGGTGGAGGCAGAGAGAGAGAATAGAGGAAGGCTTACAGTAGTCGGAGTTCGCCGGAGAATTTAGGAAGCAACGGTGCAAGGTTTCAAACTGAGACCTAAAGGCAAGTTCTAAACCTATCTCTTTCCCTTAGGCTCATGTTCTTTGCATGACTGATACAATTCCAGAATTTAATAAGAATTAAAAATTGAACTGGATTGCATGTTTTAAATGCTTAAAACTGGATGTGTGTTTAAGTTATTTAATGTTTGTATTAAATTCTTTGTTGCGTTATTTCTATTTTAAATCATATAAGTTCATGCCTATTATACCATGTTGGGAACCACTGGAATTAATTTAGTTTGTAAGTTTGGTGTGTTAAAACAATTGGGGTTCGGGAAAGCATAAACTGCTCGTATTAGACTCTTGATGCAAAATTCATGCTTTAATTGATTTTAGTAACTGAACAATGAATTTAGTGAATTTTGGAATAAGTTGGAACCTGATTTAAACACTTAGGAACGCTAGTTATGAAGGTCAGTTCATCAAAAACTCACCGGAATTGAAAACGATGAAGAACAGAGAGAGAGACGGCTCACTGTTTTAAAGAGCAGGCTCTTCCGGACGAAGAGCAAGCTCTACTTTTAAGTAGATCCGGCTCTAGGGGTCTTGGAGTAGGCTTTTATTCTAGTAGAGTCGGCTCCAAGATGGGAAGAGCAAGCTCTTCTTTTGGTGGAGCAGGCTCTTCCCTTAGGTGTGCGTTTTTTAATTTTTCTGCGACTGTGTGGGCTACAGAACTTGGATTTTGGAATTTTTAGTTTCTATTGGAAGCTATACTGAGGTGTTTAGAGGTGGTCTAAGCTTGATTAAAATCCTTGAGAGAAGATTTATGCAAAATAAAACAACTTTGTTTTAGTGCAACAGTGGACAATGCTTAATTAATCAGTTTACTGTGTTTTTGTTATGAAAGGATGCAGAATTGCTTAACACTTAGAATAGCAGTTCTTAGCAATAAAATTCTTAATTAAACCTATCCCAATGTTATAAAATAAGCGTGTGGATTTAAATGGTTTAGTATGCTTATTTGGCCCTAAGTTGGTTTACAGTTTGGATGGGAGGAACTGCAAGATGTTTAAGCTTTGGTATTAAAATTCTTAGTGATGATTTGCAGTTAGTCATGTTCCAGAATTACTAAAAATAAACCTGTGAACATTTATATTCTGTTATGGTTGATTTGAATTAATTGGTTTACATGTATAACCTGTAATATCAATTAGTGGACACTTCAGAGTAATATGGATTAAGCTTGTTAATTGACAATTATTTTATCATGCTTAATATAGAACAATTGATATTTGTACTTAATGTTTTATTGTCAATTGTGGAATGTATGGATTGGTTGATTGTTATATTTTTATTTATTCTATTAACTGCTGGATGGATTGGATTGTATGCACCGGTATGGGACGGTGACATACTAGGTTTGGATTGGCTCAAAATTGCTATATACTACCTATACGGAATAAGGGAATGGATTAAAAATAAATCCTACTTATATTTAGGCTAAGTTAAAGAAGCTGCACAAGCTGAATGACTAGCTGGATTACTGGTTATCTATGTTAAGTCTGTACAGTTGAATACGCTGAACGACTTACTAGATTTATTATGGATTGTTATGAACGGATTTTAAATATATTATTATGGTACCGTGACATGAGCTTGAGTCTCAGAGTCGACGGTTAGGGAGCATATATGCAGTAGGATGCGTAGCTGGCTATGCTGGTTGTGGTGTACCCTGTTAGGCTTAGGTAGTCATGCCCACTCAGGTACGTTTTGCATGTTGCCTTCTACTCAGGTTGAGACCCATATCATAGTCCAGCAAGAGTCCATAGTGTGGATATATATATATATATATATATATATATATATATATATATATATATATACACGACTTATATAGTTATTGTTGAGTTAGTTAGAGTGTATATGCGTATCGAGTCTCTACTTAGATTGTAGTAGGTTAGAACTTGTTCGTGGGCCTGACCCACTCCTATTTTCCAAGTGTACGGCAGTTCCAGGCTTGAGCTTGTTCGTGCTGAGCAGAGACGATCTTCCATTCTACCGACGACGTAGGACTTCTTTCCAGATTTTTGATTTGGATTTTATCTTCGGTTTACTTTCATTTCAGTTTGGTTTTTAGGGGTCCACTAGAGATAATTTCCCGAGTTGTTAACTTATGGAGGTTTTGGATTATTGGGATTTAAGTATATTTAATATTAAAGGTTTTTATATTTAGTTTTCTTTCAGCTTAAACTTTATTTATCAAATTCATTTTGTCATCTGTGTTCGTATTACATATTAATTGTTTGATATTTCCCTCGGGTTTGGGCTTGGGCCTGATCAACCCGTGTCTCGGATCCGAGGGGTATCACACAAGCTTCATTCCACATAAACTTGATTCCTTTTCGGGTTAAACGGGTCATAGGCGTTGCCAAGCGAGAAAAATCCTTCACAAATCTTTGGTAGTAACCTACTAAACCAAGAAAACTACGAATTTCAAACACATTCTTCGGCTTCTCCCAATTCAGAACTACCTCTATCTTTGATGAATCAACTGATACTCCACCTTCTAAAACAACATACCCCAAAAACTTCACCTCTTGTAGCCAAAACTCACACTTCTCATATTTGGCATACAATTGGTGCTCCCTAACTCGCAGCTGATAATAGCCTGACCTCAAGTCAATCTTTGAAAAATAACTGGCTCCCCTTCACTGGTCAAACAAATCATCTATCCTTGGTAAAGGAAACTTGTTCTTGATGGTGGCATGATTCAACTTCCGGTAATCAATGCACAACCTCAAAGAAGCATCTTCCTTCTTAGCAAATAAGACTGGTGCGCCCCACGGTGACACACTCGGTCGGATGAAACCTTTCATCCTCAAATCATCAAACTGCATCTTCAATTCTTCTAATTCAACTGGTGCCATATGATACGGTGCCATAGAAATCGCCACGGTACCGGGCATCAAATCAATAGTGAACTCCACTTCTCGGTGTGGAGCCAACTCTGTCAAATCCTCCAGAAACATAACTAGAAAATCACGAACAACTGCAGGATAATCTTCTTCCACTACATCATCTTTTTCGGTTAGAAGACTAGCCAAGAAGTAATCATCACAACTCTGTCCACGAACTCCATAAAACGATAAAATGTGGGAATCACTCCGATCTCCTAGGAAAAAGAAAGGAAGCTAACCAATCCATCCCGAGAATGGCATCAAAGCTAGTCATCTGCAGGAGGTTAAAGTCAAACACAAAAGTCCGCCCGGCTATCACAATGGAATAATCCCGCACGACTCGGCTCAAAGACACTGAAACCCCAACTGGTGTATCAACACATAACGCCCAATCCATGATACTGACCTTTAACCCCGATGCAAGTGCAAATGATGATGATATGAAGGAATGCGATGCACCAAAGTTAAAAAAAAACACGGGCCCAAGAACCAAACACTGAAAATATACCTTGAAGAACTGATAGACAAGAAGATGTATCGGCCTGTGCAAGTGCAAAAACACGTCTTTATGGTGCCTGTGCCTGAGAACTGCTAACCTGAACACCTGACTGTTGCACTAACATAGTAGGAGTATCATTCCTAATTGGCCGTGAACCTTGAGAAGACATGACAAGTTGTGGTGGTGGTGGTCTGAAACCTGACTGAACCGTAGCCGACTGTGATGGCCTCTGCTGTGACCCTCTGCCACTATCGGTGCCTGTTCCCTGATTTG